TAAAAACTTGCTTTTTCTCAAAAACATGGGACAGTTTTACGAGGTATGAATCATTTTCTAAAAGAAGAATTGTAGATTGGACAATATCAAGACATGTCTGGACACTGGCTGAAAAATGGATAAGAGCCATATAGATGTTTTTTTTGCTATTGTTGCAGTCTGAATTGCAATGAAAGTCTTTGCTGGACATTATGAAGCAAATAGTAGCTGGGTGATGCAAACACTTACTGCATAAAACAACAAAACTGTTTGTCTCCCTCTATTGTTCTAACAACATCTACAGTTAAATATCTTGTAGAATTTTAAAAAAAAATGTATGCGCCCAATTACCCCTTCACAGAATTGCAGCTGACATGCTTGGGTACCATCCAACATTTTTTGCATACCTTGATATATAGCAAATTATGAATCGTAAGTAATGAATGCCGTCCTTGTATGTTTTGCTTCAACGTGGCTTAGTGTTCCTGCAGGAGTCATACAGCCAGTGTTTTATTATAGGGAAATTGAATGTTGACATTATATCTTACAATGAACACTGCAAACCCACTTAGTCATGACATAATTCTCTAGTGCCACCAATCATTCTGGCAGGTTAGTCATTTAGCACAGTAGGGCAAGAAGAAAATACTGGATGACCAAGCGGCTAATTACACAAAGAGCAACTACTATGATGCATTTTTTTTCATTTAACTCCAGTCTTGCTTTAAAGAGCAGATTTCCCGCAAAATCATCAATGACTCGACAGCGAAACAAGCTAATCATAACTAACAAATGTTGCATAATGAATTTTTAGAATAAAGACCAGAAGAGCAGTTTCGGTGCACTAAAATGGATTGGCGAAGAAAGTAATTGAAAAGCCACAGGCGGTGTAATAACCGCAATAAAAAGGAATATCTCGAAATGCAAGAAAACGGTCTCTTTGGAGCCTCCGATGGTTGAGCAGTGCCACAAAGTAAAGCGTCTCGGCGGTTTAACGTGTGTCATTAACTTTGTGAACTTGCAGCCAATGGAATGGGCCCTCACAACAGCGCAAGCTCAGATTAGGCCATACATCAGAGAACGTTGGAGAGCGGATCTCTTTCAATCCCCCAATAATCGCATTGAGCAACTCTCGCTTTCGCGCGCGCCCACTGCCCCCTCTCTTTTTCTCCAGTCTGTATCTGCTGATCCCTCTGCACAGTCCAGAAGAGAGCTCTCTTTGTGCTGGTGCTGGCAGGCAGACAGAAGCAGAGAGATGGATACGGCTGAGAGTGACCTGATTCTGCCTCAGTGCCTGGCCTCTGTCCAAATACAGAGACTCCGCTCTCTTGTCTCTCTGTCTTCAGGGAGGAACCCTCCATCTTTCTCCTCAGTTGCTACGCTGCGGGACGCTGGCTGAAATACCTGCCAGGCTTGAGCAAGAAATGGATTTATGTTCACAGGTTCAACTCACTTGAGTAGCTCGTCTGCTGCTAATCAAGCAGCGAACTCATTTTCTGATGTGCAAAACTAGTTTTACCTGTACCAGTAATAATTAGTTTTAATATCAGCAGCACCCAGCGATGGAGTGGTTTGAAGCCTCGTTGGCTGTTTTACTTGCTTTAATTTGTCTGTGGAAATTGATCAAAATAAAAATTAAAGGTCAAAACTGAGCTAAAATTGGGTGCAGTGAAGGTGATCTCTAGCCTTCAGTGCTACATTTGTACAGCAAGGGCCATTGGAAGTTAAGCCAGAAACGGCTGACCGAAAAAAAAGCATTAAAATATTAAGCTCAGAGTCAGAACCCAATTTAATTAGGAGGATTGAGAGAAAGAAAAAGGGCATAAAACATGATGGAAGCAGCGGCAGCAGTGTCTTAGTGTCAGACAATGTCAAGGGCTACATTGATATTTGGCTTTCTGACTCGAGACATCTTTGGCATCTCAACTACAAATGTCATGTTTTGCTGGTGGCGTAATGAAAATGTGTCTGCTTCCTGAAAGGGCTGACAGGCAAAGTATATTTCATTAGATTGCAGAACAGAGGACAGAGATGGTGGTGATTGGCAACCAGCAGAAATAATATAGCAAGTGTCAGCGGCAAGAGTCACATAAAAACACCCTCCTTTTGCTCAAGCATCACCCTTTACTTACACAGCCAGACAGATATGATGTGATTTCTTTTTTTAATGATGAAAAACACTTTTTTGGAAATGTAATTAAACTTGGGAGAAATAGCTGCACCTTTATTATCTTCCGAGGAAGCTTTCAATCATCAAAACCTCAAACACTACAAAGTACTCCATCTTGCTGTTGATAGACCCTGTTAACCTTTGAACCCAAGTATGATAAGTGTCCTTTATAACTGATGGTGACACGAAGAGGGTGATTTCTTTCCGAGACATAAACAACAAGTAAGAATGAATACATTGAAACAGCATTACTGGTTACTGGAGAAAAGGCGTTGGGGGTGGGGGTGTGTGGGGGGTGACCCTTTAAGTAGTGACCCTCGTTCTCGTTGGAGTGCCATTAGTCTAGCAGCGAAGCACCACATGACTTGGAGGACAGAGTGTAGTCTTGACAGCAGCTCATTCTGAAAAGGTCAAGGGGGGAAAGGCAGGGAGCTGGAGTAGCAAGTTGAAGGAAAATGTTTTTGTTGTGCTCAGATATTCATCTTTGTTTACTCTCTTTGACATCTCAGTCTGCATTGGCTATCAATTGTATCTCTTGTGTCCATCTGTCTTTGCTCCTCATCCTCATCTTCACCCTCTTTAACCACATGACATGATCTTGACCCAAATTTCGGTTATCTCTATTGATCATTCCTACCACTCTATAAAACCCCATATTATAGCCTAAAGCTCTATGTTCCATTTGGCTAATAAAAGCAGATCCCATGTGTCCTCTGTGGCTTGGTCTGAAGCTTGCGATGATGATGATGATGGCCTTTAGTGATGGGTTGTTTTGACACCTGGTACTTGCAAGATTTATCGAGAGCTCAAACGGTGCACTTCCAGGAAGAAAAATGGAAAATAAGACATAAACAAAAGGCGCTCTGACCTCCAGAGCATCCCCCCACTGACACTTCAACTAGCCACTAGCCAACTGTAGCCAAATTGGTTGCATATTCTTTAGCCCTGAAATTGTGCCATGAACTAAGGTTGATGGTTATTATTTTTTTTGACCTTGTCTTCTTTTGCTAGACTCGAAATGTACATTTTGTTGTCTAAAAACCCTCCATGGTGAAAATCAAGCCTTACGGCCTTGTTACCTGTTTATATTCTAGAAGACATATCATGTGCAAAATAACCTGTCAAAGTCATGGCTGAGAATTTTATACCTTGAAACTGCAGGGTACCAATGACTGTCTCAAAAACACAGATTCCAACACCCAGGATTTTATATGTAATAGACCTAAGGAACCAATCTCCATAGCGGGGCTTTATGTACTTAGATTTTTCTTAAACAGTTTCCTGTTTGATCATGTATGGCTGAATTACTATAGTTTTACAGCTAGCCATTGTGCAGCATGGTGAAGTTTTATACTGTTTGAGCAGTCACTGGGGAGCTGGTGTGCTTAAGCTGCAGCAAGTGGGGAGGAGTGCATGGAGAAAGAGGCGGTGACTTAATAGAGGATAACACAGAGATACATTTTTAGGGGTTTAATTTATGACTGGAAAGGGAATTTAAGTTTATTTTATCTAACTTTATGAAAACTATTTATCACCCTGCACATGCCCACAGATTTATGTTGGACTAATGCTGTTTCTAGTGCATTCCCCAAGGCCTTTATATAAACATTCAAATCAGTCCTTAAGAAGCCTGTTACCATCAAGTCAGTACAGTAAAGTGTGTATTTCATAACTCAAACCCACTATCTCATCTTATGTCTGATGGTCTCTGTGCTTTTTAAAGAGTGTAAAGGCAGTGTCACCTGCCAAGTCATTTCTCCCCAAAGCAACCTATCACATTGCTCAGCTATTAATCAAGCAGTGCCTGCTGCAGTCCTAAACCAAGTGTTGCTCCCAGAATAATGACCAATCCCCAACACCATTATTCTCTTATCAACACCCATAAGTCATTCTGCCCACAGTGACTGGTAAGAATATACCCCCCGACAGGATTAAACACATGCATGCAAACACAAAATGTAGACTGGGACAAAATATGAAGCACACCTATCTGTATGTAATTGCAAAATCACAGCACCATGTCCGCACCGAAAGCATAACAGATGAACCGCCATCTAGAGCCGCGTTTCTCCCCACTTTAATTCAGTTTTTTTTTATATATATTTAGATGCATTGCAGTGATTTGCCTCAGAGCCCTGTGGTAGTGCAGCACTTCTTTTTCTTTTTTTCTTTTTTATTTCTCTCAGTTCTTTTTGAATCACTTCACATTGAATATCTTGCTGCAGTGGCATTTCTGCACTTGCTGTTGCACTGGGTGGACGGTGGGGAATTGTGCCTGACAGAGCAGCCTCTGGCGCTATTACAGGACTAGAGCCTGACTGCAGTCTTCTACCATCTTCATCTCTTTCTTATGTGTTTATGTATTTGCTGTTGCTTGTATGTGAACCAGCAGATGCACAGACATAGAAATGCTCAAAGATTTTCAATCACAAACAGTATAAAATGTTTCTCATTTGTTGACCCCCTTCACCCATCTACCCTTCCCTTATGGAAATACAGTTAGATCTATTGTATTGATATCTATTCTGATTGGTCCTGTGCTCACTGTTTGATGTTTTTCCATCCATCCATCCATCCATCCATCCATCCATCCGTCCGTCCATCCATCCGTCCATCCATCCATCGATCCATTATCTAAATCAGTTGCAATACTGTATGGCACTCCCCAACTTTTCTCCCTGAAGACATGGCATACCTTTCTTTTTCAAAATTGTCCCAAAATATCATAAATGTTTGCCTCATCAGTGCCTCTTGGCTTAAATTTTGATTTGAAAACATTTTAGGTCCACTATTCATTAGGCAAATAAAATCCGATTTGTGTACTAATCCCTATTTTTGTTCTCTGCTACAGCTCTTGACCATTGACGATGACTTTTGTGGCCTCGACATGAATGCACCACTGGGCGTGTCTGAGATGGTGCGTGGCAAGCCCCTCTTTTCCGATGCTGTTGACAAAATGACCTCTGTCATCGCGTATGTCTACAAGAACCACTCACTGGTCTTCGTGGGCACAAAAAGTGGACAAGTGAAGAAGGTAAGGAGGAGAAATGCAGGTTTAAAGGTAGCAGAGATGGTTGAATTGATGCGAGCAGTGATTTGGTTTCTCTCTGTTAGCATGTGGAGGTAAGGGCTGGGAATTGGGGACTGCTGGATTGGAGGAAGGATAGTAGTAGAAAGGCAGATTGACTTTCAGGCAAATCAGCTGAGTCGGCTGTATTTGCAGTCGGAAGAGGTGTATGTGCATGCCTGAAAACGAGGGAGAGTGAATGGAGGAAGTGTGTGTACTTTGCTGCAAAGAGAAATTCTGTGTGGCGCGTGTGTGTGTGTGTGTGTGTGTGTGTGTGTGTGTTTTGAGGAAAGGGGATCAGCAGAGCCCCTGAGGGGGTTTTATTCCTACAGCCAAGCCTATCTGGTATCTCTCTACATCCTCCTCACCCTCTGCACCATATATCACACATACACTCGTATACACTCAGTATCAGGAGTATCCACTGTACTTTTCCTTCACTTTGGACTTGTATAAAATCCAGAGCCCTGGGGGCAGATTGTAGCACACATCAGCATGTTGCAGAACTTGCTAGACAGCACAGATCAGCATGTTACAGAATCGATTAGACAAAGTTTCTTATCTCTTTCTTGAGGCAAATTAAAGGATCAGAATAAGATGAAATGCATTATTTATTAGGTAATTGATGTAACTCAACAATAGGGTACTGTCGAAGTACAAGAAGCTATATGGGTCTTTTTTTTTTTTAAATGTAAGTTTTTATTTCTTTATTTTTTTTTTTACATGTTCTGTTATTTGACAATGCGCTTTAGGAAAGAAAAACGGCCTTTGATGGTGTGGAAGTCCCTGAAAAAAGTGGAATTCTTTTTGCAGCTGGAAGTGTTACCCATAGCATTTGTGAGCATTTTGGACCATAACTGTCTCTCCCTTGAAAAACATGTCACACTCTGTGTGACAGCAGAGCCCTTGGCTGAACAAGATTTTGTCCCCTCAGAGTTGAACAGCACTGGATAAGCTGGGTTTTGGCGTGTTGTGGCTTCCCTCTTAGACCCCCCTCATGCCCCTGTGCCCTCCCGCGTGTGGCAGCTCTTTTCAGAACTAATGGGATGATGCACTGCTGCTAGGTGTGATAGAACTTGGTAGCTCCTGTACTTTTACTCTGCTTTCTTGTATACACACACACACACGCTCACGCACACACCTGCACACACACACACACACACACACATACACACATATGTTGTAGGGCCATGACTGAGACTAATTCTGGGGGCGGCCAGGCCAGTGAGCTTCACAGGCCTGGGGAACACAGCATTATGCTGAGAGGAGGGGAGGAGAGAGGAGATGGAGTGACTGAGGGAAGCAGAGTAAGGTTTAGCTGGAGGGGGGAGATTGGACAGAGATGGACTACATTCCAGAAATGAACTTTATAAAGGGCGCTGAGAAGGTGGGAAGAGAGAGTTTATATGACCACAGTTGAAGGTAGAGGGATGAAACACGAGGGAAAACTAAAACAAAGAGCCAGTATCAAAAGGACATTGTCTTCTAATACAGAAGCAGTGAGGAATGCAGTTTTTTACACTCTTATTTTTAATTACTGGCCCCTTACCTGTGCTGGTTGCTGTTGGGTTTTTTGTCCATGCAGGAGCAGAACGATTGAGGCAGCAGTTTTCATTGTGGTAACCAGCATAGTCGGCAGATGTTTAAAGTGGGAAATATATAATCATATTTACTACCTACTGCTCATCTTGAATAATGAAAGTAAGTTAGAACTCAGTAAATTTAGTAGCTTCGAGTGTCAAAAACATTACAAACTCTTACTTCACAAAGATTAAGAGACTCTCTTACTGTGTCTCTTTTACTATCTTCATGCTTTTCTTCTTTCCCGTGGACAGTGTTAAGGCTTCTCTTCCCAAAACCATATATTCACCGTAGGACTGCAACTGTTGATTATTTTTACTGTCCATTAATTTGTTGATTATTTTCTCAAATAATAGGTTTGTTTGTTATTAGTCTATAAAAGATGGCATCCTCAAATATCTTGTTTTGTTCACAACCCAAACATATTCAGTTATTCAAAAATATTCAAATTTAAGAAGCTAGACTTAATTTTTTTAAACTTCTTTTTCATAAAAAAAAACAACAACAACCAAAAAAACAATCAATATTTGGATCAATAATTGGTAATAATGTGAAATTGTTAACGAATTGATTCCAATAATGGTTGTTAGTTTACTGTGAAATACAACTTGTCCTTTAATCTTAAAAATCAAAGTGAAACGATTTGCATTAAGTGTTCGTGTATCATCATCTAATCTTGTCTTGATTACATAAAGGATAATAGATTATTAAACATCAGTTTTAACATAAGTAATGGGATGTGTTGTGTTTGTTTTCATTTTAACATGAAGATCTTCCAGCTGCAACTGCTCCTATCAGAGACACTTTGCACCAATGTCAGCACACAGACAAAGGGCTGCTACCAGTGACTGTAATATGTGTAGAGGGGTGAAGTGACTGAAATCAATACTAACCTTCATTGTGGCTGTTTTCATTATTTTGAAAGACCATGGCCAATCTTCATGTGTATGAAAGACAGCAAGTTTATAGCATGTCTGTATTTTTTAAGCTATAAAAAGGAACAGTCTTTGCAGAGTTTCATGCTGTAACGTGTGCTAGCATGCCCATGTTTGACAATTTTAATAAAGCAGACTTACTTTTGCCTAAATTAAGCAAACTTATCAACTCAAATCAAAAAGACTTCAATTTTACAACAGCTCATATTAATAAGTTCTGAGTGGGCTGAAAATAAAAACTAGAAAATGCAAGTAGAATTGACTTGAATTTAATGAAACGTATATTTATATGAAGCTGGGAGAATATTTGTTGTTTCCACTTAATTCCTGTTTGACATTTTACAGCGTTGGCACTTGACAGGATCCTGTCTGCTGGGCTTTGGCTTTGTTCTCGTTCAAACTCAACATGAATGAAGATCAGATTGTGCACATATGGTGTGTTCAGGCAAAGAACCCAACAGGCTTTGACCAAAGGTGATCAATACTCTGTGTCAACACAGGCGTGCACACAAGCACACACAGCCCCATTACAACCCCATCCTCCCCTCCCATGTACATACTTCCCCTCCCCTGTCATTAACTGTATACCATTAGATGACATCACAGGCAATAAAAGGCAACAACAAGACAATAAAAAGTCTGAGCTTCAGTCCACCTCCTTCATCAGTGACTTTATAACCCCACGGCTAATGGATGTTGATTTATACACACTCCTCCATCTTACTTGTTCCATCCCTCAACCCCCTCCTCGTTCTTGCTCTCAGATATTCTCTCTCACACTGTCTTTCACTCCATTTTTTTCTGTTATTTATGATCTTGTGACTAACACACTGAATAAATACAAGTATTACGGTAAAAGAGTGGATGGACTTTAATGGAGTGGTGTTTGGGTGAGCTGAATGTTAGTGTTTACGGGCTCACGTTTATGACATCATGAAGTGGGGCTGGGAGTGGAAGCTGAGTGAATTAAATTCAATTTGCTTGTGAAATAGTTTAATGTAATGGAGGTTAGAGTAAAATGTTGGTAATATAACGTTAGGCCTGTGGATCAAAGTACAGACGCAGTTGTAGCATGTCTATACTGATGAACATCTTTGTCATAATGCATTCTCAAGCCCCTAAACCGATCCTCACCTCAGACAATGCGTATTTAACCCCAACCCCTACCTTAACTTCAACTTAAATGGTAGATCTGTTATTAGATTAACTTATAAGGCCCCATTTACGTTGAATATCTGTGAAGAAAGGAGGCTGGACGGGTTCCCCAGGATACTAGATGCTTTTGTGGCAAAGTGATTCTCCTGCATAAATCTGAAGATTATTGTGGCCAGAGGGATGTAGTGGGTTGTGTAGCCATTCTGAACGATAATTTAAGGGGTGTGGCGAAACAGACGTGAGAGAGTCTGGAGAGTAAGTTTTGATCCGAATGAGATATTCACCCATATTTAATGTTTTTACTGTCTTTTGAGCCACAATTTCTCATTATGGGTTCATTGTGTAGTGGTTTCAAGTTTATTCTCACAAATTAACACCCAACACACAGATTAAAACCCATTCAGAGACACCTGCCTTAGATGGCTTTAATGCGGATTGGCTATGTTGTGTAGGGTCCATTTTGACACAGTCTAAGCTGAGTTTTCCAACAGTCTCATGTCAGCAGAAAACAAGCGGTACTGTTAAATCAGTGGAATTCTGTACATGCCAACAGCTACAGCCATGCTTGGCCTTTACTGTCTCATACAAGGTTTAAAACTGTCACATCACTCAGGGCTTATATGATCTGTACACCTCCATGCCTTTTCCTCGTTCTTTTAATTTCTGCCTCACTTCTAGTTCTGTTTAATTGATAATACATCTTTTCCTCTAAACTGTTCAACATACTTCCCATCTCTTTCTTCTCTTATTTCTCTGCTTCCCCTCCCTTTCTCCACCTCTGGTTGCCCTCGCCTCATAATTTCCCTCTTCCTTTTCCCTTCATCTCTCTCCCTCCCTCCGTCTATCTGTCCATGGCTGAGTGGAGTTGCTGTGAAAGCTCTTTGATGGCTACCTCCTGCCACTGGAAGTGAATGGACCATATGGCTTCTGTCAGACTGTCTGTCGGTCAGTTTGTGTGTTCGTTGGTCTGTGGATTAAGGAGGAGATGGAGATGTGATGGAGATAAAAGGCTGTGGCTGGGTAAGGTTTAAACCCATTTAGTGCAGGTCAGTGCACAGCAGCATGTCAAGAGGAAAGCCTTAACCCCCTGTAGACTTTGGTTTTGTTTATGGTCATCTGGTCATCAGCATGAGACACATTGGTGTTCACACAAATGCATGATATTCACACATTGCACATGATTGCATGTATTGATAAGTGCACATGCATGCATCAGTGAACACTTAGACCAACACAACCCATGTACATCGTGCTGGACAAAGGCTAGCCATGGGGCCGTGGCTGGAGAGGTGGACT